ATTTGAATGTGTTTGAAAGACAAAAGTCTTCCAAAGACATGGTAATACATGATTAAATAAGAGTGATAATTCAAATAAAAATGAATATGTTAGCAATATAGTTGATGCAATGTTGAAATGTTGAGAATTTGAAATGTTGTTAAATTTGAAAATTATTTTTGTAAATCCGGTGCTCATTATAGTCACATCACTATAGGTGATAAAACTATCTGAATCTGTATAAGTGGTAGGCTATTTTAGGAAGGAAAATTTAAAAGATGAAAAAGAAGAATCAGTCATAATCAAATTATGAATGATTTGTAGCTATTGTGTGAATAATATGTAATCATGTAATCAATAAAAAATTACTGATTACGAGTATTTTAAAATGTGATATAATCTAATTAAATCTACTCTAATAAAAACATAGAAATACACTGTCATTTGCACAATGCATCATTGGACCCTGGGAGACCAATGCAGAAGCAGCACCGGTGGCAAGTTGGACTTCCTCAAATGGTGATGGAAATAAAACCTCTCCTGGGCCTTTTTCACAATTGAGCCTATGTATTTCAGGTCCTGTGAGATAGTAGTGCCCAAAAACCTGAATGACTCAACTGTTGCCCCGTGCTGTTCATGATGATGAGTGAGTAGGGGTAATGCTGGGGTATTTCTCCTAAAATCCACAATCATCTTATGACTGCACCAGACAGCCAGCTGCTCAACCTCCCTTTTTTATGCAGACTCGACACCATCATGGATGAGGCAGATGACCGTGCCATCCACAAACTTCAGCAGCCTGACAGAGGGGTTTTTAGAGGTGCAGTGTAGAGGGAGAAGAGCAGTGGGGAGAGCACACATCCCTGGGGGGCGCCAGTGCTGATTGTAGGTGTTGGACATGAATTTCCCCAGTCTCACTAGCTGCTGCCTATCTGTCAGAAGTCTGGTGATCTACTGACAGATAGAGCGAGGAACAGAGAGCTGGGCTTATTTGGTCTGGAGAAGAGCAGGGATGATGGTCTTGAAAGCCAAGCTGAAGTCCACAAACAAGATCCTCACATAAGTCCCTGTTTTTTTCCAGAGGTTGCAGGATGCAGTGTCCAATATTGACTACATCGTCCAACGACCTGTTTGCCCGAAAAGCAAAAAAGAACAGGCTCCAGCAAGGGTCCAATAATGTCCTTCAGGGGGTCAACCCCGGTCTTTCAAATGACTTCAAGATCACAGACATTAAAGCAACATGTCTATAGTTATTCAGTGAAGCAGAAAGGGACTCTGCACAACTCCAGTGATCTGTTGAAGATCTTTGTGAAGATGGGATCCAGCTGGTCAGCTCAGGATTTCAGAGAGGCAGGTCTAACGCCATCTAGGCCTGGTGCTTTCCTTGTCTTCCGTTTGTGGAAGACCCAACACATCCTCTTCATGGATCGGAAGTGCAGGAGAGAGGTTGCTGGAGGTGTTGATGAATGTATGGAGAGAAGTTCAGAATGGGTGTGGGGTGTGAGCTTAGCAAAACTTTGCTATTGTTGTTTGTTAACAAGTTAGTTTATATGTTAATGACTTTATATGTTAATAAGTTCATTACAAATAAATAAATACATTTCACGTAAATGAATCTAATCTCAAACTACTTTCAGATCTAGATTTTATTATAAACTTGGCATTTAGCATTTACGTTAATATAGTATATATTTAAATTTACATTTAGCAGATATTTATAGCTTTTATGCAAAGTGATTTACAAATGAAAATCTGTCGGGTGGTTTACCACATTATATTAAATGTATGCAAATACTGTAGCCTTTATTTTAATGCCCTGTGCTTCCTGCCAAAGTAAGTCTTTTTGTTTTACACTAATCAGGGTATTTATGAAATAAAAACAATGTTTTTTTGTATCTCTTCAAATGTGTGGGCTTGGTTTAAAGTGTACTGCACTTTTATTACTGGGAAGCATCATAGAAGTGGCTAACCGCACACTGAATCCAATAAGGCTGAAAGAGATTTTATTGGATTTTATTGGATTCAGTGTGCGGTTAGCCACTTCCCTGTTTGCTTCCAACTATTATTTTGGCTCTACTCACCTGCAGCAAAAGGATTTATTTTTTGTTATTTGGAGCGCTACAAACTTTTTTGAACTTTTATCACTGGCCATGCAAATGATCTTGAAACATAAAAATGGAATGATGACACAATTGAAGTAATGGTGCTTTATGTAACATTGTCTAGTGTAATAAGTGTTAATGATAAATCCCTATTGACATTTGTACTGGTTACTGTATACAGGCCACCAGGGTAACACACAGACTTTATCATTCTTTATCAGATTTTCTATTTGAGATAGTGTTGATTGCTGATAAAAATCTTAATTGTTGGTGATTTTAATATCCATGTTGATAATGAAAAAGATGCATTGGGATCAGCATTTATATAGACATTCTGAACTCTATTTGGGTCAGACAACACATGCCAGGACCTACTCATTTTTGTAATCATACTCTAGATTTAATACTGTCATATGGAATTGATGTTAAGGCGTTGAAATTCTGCAGCAGAGCAATGACATCTCAGATCATTATCTATCTTGTGTGTACTCCATATAGCTAAAGCTCCATGTTGCAAATATGGTAGAACCATCACTTCTACCACAAAATAGTGCTTTGTAACTAATCTTCATGACTTGCCTCAATTCCTCAGCTTATCCAATAGCTCAGAAAAACTTTTATGTTGTAACAGAAACTATGGACTCTCTCTTTTCTAGCACTTTAGACATGGTTAAAAAGATCAAGCAAAACAGTCTGACACTGTGGTATAAGGAGCACATTCGTGCCTTAAAGAGAGCAGCCTAGAAAATGGAGGGCAGCTGGAAGCTTTTTAACAATAGTGAACTATAAAGATTATATAAAGATCAGTTCTGCGTCACCCTGTCACAGTTTATTTTGCAATAATAACTGTCTGTACAATATCCCGCTTATTGCACAGCTACTCTCATTACATAAATACATGTGAAATATTGATTTGAGTTGAAACTCATTCATAATTGCCCTTTACCTGTACATGAACCTAAAGCTTCTGCTAAGAAACAGTAGTCCATTACTGTGTACAAAATGATCGGCCAAGCAACAAGACTAACACTGCAACATTAGTAACTTTCATAAGGAAGTCCTCTGAGGTGATTTTCATTAAAGTTGATAACCAGCATACAAGATAGAACCAGATGAAATTGTATGAAATGAGACAGGGCGAGTTTAATGTATGAGATATGAAAGTATTGCTGGTTTCAGTCACTGTGATGCCATGACAAAGCTATATATTAGGAAATATCAGACAGCTGGATGCCATGACTGACCAATCAGAATCAGGTATTCCAGAGAGCCGTGTAATAAACTAGATTAATAACTGGAAAACAAAGATAAAATATCCAATTCAAATTTCCTCCTCCAGATATTTCACCTGTCTCTCCAAATACAACACATGAGCCTGATGAGACCACAGCATCCAATGCTGTTCCCTCAGAGTTCTGTGTAGGCAAACTGGACGGGTTATACATAAACCCAGATAACCCTACGACCTTCATTCAGTGTTCTAATGGCGGGACCTATGTGATGCATTGCCCTGATGGGACTGTCTACAATCCTGGCTGCTTGTGCTGTGACTGGCCTAAGAATTAATCAGTGTTCCACTTCTGCAAAAAAAAAACGTGTGGAATTTTGCCAGTATTTTTTTTTTACTGTTTGGGGCAAGTAGTGGCAAAAACATTTTTCACTTTACTTTTAAGTATTCTGTTCATTTCTTCAAATTTAACAGACACCCAATGATTTAATACTACTTTCTTAAAATAATATGCTACATTTAGTTGTCTTAAAGGAGTGCAGTCTGTCTAATCTGTCTGAATAAAACTAACCTGATTAAGCATTAATTGTCTGCATTTTTTACATTTAAAGTGGGACTGCATTGGTAACCTTGTGACATTTCTAAACATTTTTAGATAAAGGCTTTTTCAATGTTTGAATATTCATTAGAAAACAAATAAATAATAAAGAACACCCATCTGTTTCTATTAAAGCAATTGATTAATTTAAACTTGAAATGAAAAATTCATGTAACATTCAAAATGATTAATGCAAAACATTTACAGTAATTTTCAGTCTCCGCACAGTCCATTTCAGTGCAAAAATTACTAAGGATTCAAAGTAACATTTAAACAACCAATAACAATACCTTTGTGTTGAGCTACAGCTTTGGGATCCAAGGGATATGCAGAGGTAAATGTTTATAGAGCCAGACATAATCAGTCATAATAAATCACTTCAGCCTAACGCTTATCTATTGGCCCAATCATGCAAGCTTTGAAAAGGTAACACAGCGCTAACTTAAACCTAAATAAAATCTGAATCAATGAAAACACTATAAAGGTAAGATACAGATAATAGAGCTCAGGCTGTTCAAGATTAATCTCTCAGAAAGTTAGTTCAAAACATCAAAGTAAAAATATTAACTGTGCATTTTGAAGCAGACTAAACCAGAGTTAACTAATTGAATCATGTCCTCTGTACCCACTCACACTTTCAAACATCACAATGCCCATTTTGTCTGATTTATTCGCATAGCTACATTTTTTGAAGGAGCTCAGCTGAAGTGTAGTTGTGTCCAGCAATGCTTCAGGTTGGTCATGGTCAGGATTGCTTATGTTTACTTTGTCATTTAGCCAACAAACTTACAGTAATTTGGCTGGACTAACTGGCAAAAACCATTACTTAGAAGTCAGGGTGATAATACGGTTTAAACAGAAATACATACAAATATGTATGTAATATGACATTATGATCGAATACGTACTGTATATCTTAAGTCACTTTGGATAAAAGTATCTGCCAAATGCATGAATGGATGCCCATGTCCTGCTGTGCACACCTGACAACCAACAGATTACACTGTGTTTTAACTCTGTTCGGTATCATATCAAATGTAAGAAAGAATCTTTATGAATGAAATCTTTCACAACTTTCAATTCTTCATTGTGGTTTTTCTAAACCTACATCCATTTTATTCACATTTTTCTTATTCACAATTTTTATCTGCTAAAACAAAGCTCCCTGAGCTTAGTTTCTAAAACTTAAGTGTGTTGAGATCAGTGTAAGTAACATCCCACCATTTACAGCTCATGCTGGCTACTGTGAGGTGGCGGCAACTTCCTGACGTCATTATTCTGGATGAGCTGGAAGTAGAACAGCACAATCTCTTCATAGTTCTGAATGGAGATTCTCTCGTTCACACCGTGAAATCTAAAGGAGGAACACAAATGTTTAATTATATAAAAATGTGACATTTCTAGCTGGACAGTATTACAAAGAGCATTTCTGAGCATTTCCTGTGTCTTACCTTTGAGGATCACCTGGTTTGAACCATGACGGAGCAAAGCGATATATATCTTGCGTGATATCCTTGTAGTGACGGCTGTCAGTGTTGCCAACACAGATACCTGTGAGAGGAAATCAGCTCAGTTAAAAGAGGCTCTTCACAAGTCAATGATGTATGTAAGAGGCGGAAAGCAGAAATGCATCACTTGTCTTACCAGGAGCCACCGTAAGCTGAGGAAACATGCTCTGCACCGTTTTCTTTATGATCTGGTACCCGAATGTATTCTCATCATAGGAGCTGATGGACAGTGGGTCGAATCCATTGACCAGCTCTACCTTCACACGCTCATCTGATACAGTTGACTCGACCAACTCCAGAACCTAAAAGAAGACAATGAATCAAACTATGAAATAGTTCAGACAGAAAGAGTTTTTATTTAACCATTGTAAATAGCATTTGATTTAAAGCAGGGGTGCCCAAACTCGGTCCTGGAGGTGTCCTGCAGAGTTTAGCTCCAACCCTAATCAAACTCACCTGAAGCAGCTAATCAAGGTCTTACTAGGCATACTAGAAACTTTCAGGCAGGTGTGTTGAGGCAAGCAGGAGCTAAACTCTGCAGGACACCGGCCCTCCAGGACCAAGTTTGGGCACCCCTGATTTAAAGGGATAGCCCACTGGAAATTTTTTATTCTGTCATCATTTACTCACTACCCATCTACAGTTAATCAGTTTTTAAATCATGAGAAACTGGTTGGTGTGAAGAGCTAAAGTTAATAGATGAGCTATCAGAGTTATAGGCTGGACTGAATGAGTCATTGCTGTGGCAAACGGCGTGACCTCTCACCTCCTGCAGTGTTTGGGCTGAGTGGATACGGAAATTGACGAATGCTTCAGCATATGATGGGATTACATTAATCTGTCAGAGAAAGAGAAGTAATCAGCTCTACCTTCATGCTACTTTGTGAACTAACGTACAACAAAAAAAGAGAGGCCCACCTTTACACCCGAGTTAAACATAGTGACGGCAGTTGTGGTCCTCACAAATGCATTTGTGTCAGGTTTTCTCTCCAACACCCTGCATAAGAAAGGGATTTTCCTGGGTTTTACATGCTTACATGTTGCAATTAATTAATAAAGCGTTTACTTAATTAGTTATGAAAAAATTACTTGATTAAAATATTTTAACGCAGTTAACGCGCTGGCCCCGCCCCCAGACCTGTACCTCTTCTTACATTCATACAGTTGGCTGTTGACAAATATGATGCAGGGCAACAACTCCATAAATGCAGTTATGCCCTAAAATTCAAGATACTAGGGCAAAAATGCTCCTGATAAAGTAGTGTTCAATAGCACAGCTGCTTTGTTTACAGCTGTTACCGGAGAAACCGCTATACTTTTGAGGTTCCAAAAGCGCCTCCTACTGGCAGAGAATCAAACTGGATTTTCAATAAGCCTGTCTGCTGTTTCCCCCCATCCGCCCATATAACCCTGTTTTAAATTAATATAATAACTTATACTTCTGACTTGTCTCTTTTCTTAAAAAAATGGTTTAAAGACTGAAATGTGAGGTTTATCATTTTAGATATATTTTTTGTTTTGGTGAAAACCTGTATCTCTACTGTAATTAAATCATGTTTTTACAGTCATTTTACAGTTTAATGTTACCATAGACATTGCCCTACCCTGCTCATATGGTATTAATTTTTATTTTTAAATAAATTTTTGCAGGTCTTAAAAAAGGTCTTAAATTTGATTTAAAAAATCCTGCAGACAGATGTAGCCTTGTACACTGCCAGCATCTAGAATGATTTTGATCATCATTTTAGTGTTCATAACAGAGGGCTCTTTCAACTTGTTATATTTTACAGTTTGTCAATTGATATAATTGTTAATTGTTACAATATAATTACAATATAACTATTAATTGTTTGTTAATTGATTTTGTAGGCTTCTACACATGTGCACCCCTCAAAAGCCTGAAACCCCAGAGCCCCCCACATAATAAATCCCAATTTAACCCCTGCCTATAAAGCCACAGCAGAACTGTTGTTCTGTTGTGTGTTTAGTTTCTGAATTAATCCGTGTTTTGAACGAAGTGGGTGAATCAATGATTCAAAGGCCCATTCATAAAGTTAGCCGTTTACTGAATTCCTGAATGAATCAGCCGTTTGAACGAATCGAATGAATGACTCATAACATTTAACACAACCTAAATATAAAAGAAGGTATTTTGAAGACACTAATAAAGCTGTTTTGGTTATCAATGACTTCCATTGCATGAATGAAAAAAAACTGAGATGTTTCTCAGATTATCTTCTTTTATGTTCCATAGTTTATGATAGGTCGTTGTAACCTAAACGTTTATGTGTAATACATTTTATGTTGAATCAAATAAAATATTTCTTTCTACAGCTACAATTTGTAATGTCTACTACTTAATACTTTCTCATTTAACACAAAAACAGCTTTAAATAATCTTTTGGGGGCATTTTTACAGCCAAATGTAATTTGTGATTAATTAGATTAATTAATTAACACATCATGCAATTAATTAGATTAAAATTTTTAATCGACTGACAGCCCTAATATATATATATATTTTTTTTCTTTTTGGTATGTAATTAATTCCTGTGATGGCAAAGCTAAATTATCAGCACGCATTACTCCAGTCTTCAATGTCACATGATCCTTCAGAAATAATCCTTCAGAAAAATCTTATTTGGCGATTAAAAATATATCTCTCATTACGATCAATGTTAAAAACTTTCAGCTTAATATTTTTGTGGAAACCATAATACAGTTTTTCAGGATTCATTGATAAATAAAAAGTTAAAAAGAAGAGCATTTACATAAAATAAAAATATTTGTAACATTATGAAACATCTCTACTGTCACTTTTGAGCAATTTAATGTGTCCTTGCTGAAGTAAATTATTAATTTCTTTCACAAATCAATACTATGAATTATCATCATATGGGTACTAGGCAGACTCAGGTCTTTAAAGCCTGACTTGTGTAACAAGCTTTTCATATAAAAGTACAGAATGGGATGTGATGACAGACATATAGAGAGTGAAAAAAATCCCATAACCATTATTAAATTGTCTTTTGAGGTCCGAAAAGTTTTCAATGCAGGAAAAATCCTTTATAAAATATACTTTGATATGACATTAGTTACTGCATTAAGGTAACCAATATGAGCTACCTGCTGAGTAGCGGAGAGAAGAGCCACAGATTAGACATGATGAATCTGAGAGGCAAACCAAACTACAAAAGAAAATAAGAGAAATGGTTTTCACATATACAGAATACAGGTCAGTATTTCATCAAATGTGGCCTGCAAAATCCTCTGCTTGTAGCATTTTACCTTATGGGCCAGGTGTTCAAACGTGCCACGCTCAGGACCATAACCAAACAGCCTGGGCATTGGATTTTCCTCCAATCTGGGAAAAGATATTAATAGATAGCATTACGTACAATAAATCTTCATTTAAATACATTTAGCTTAGTCTAATACTGCCGTCATGCAGCTGGTTTGAGAATAACTTGGATCCATCTTTAATCTTTTTTAATTGTTTTACTATTTAAAAAAAAGTTAGGTGTTTCTGCTTGCCTTTTGACTGCTGACGCCAAGATGCCAATGCTGCTCTCTCTGGGCGGCATGGATGAATGTCCAGGAGCACTGCTTACACTCAGCTTTACTGTGGCCTGACCTTTCTCACTGATACCTATTCTACAAAAACACACACAGGGCAAATATTACACACTAATTCAATTACTAAATGACTCTTCTTAGTAGAATAGCTCAAAATAGCAGTCTCACAGGGCAGCAGGTCCATCCAGGCCACTTATGACACCATCCAACACTGCCAGGCCTTCATCTAAAACATACCGGAGCTTCACCCCCCGACTCTTCAGGAGCTTCACGATATTGGCTGCCCCATGTAAACCATTCACCTGACAAAACCATATAAATAAGTGCATATAAACAAGTATTCTAAACAACAACTAGTCAATTCACTTGAGACGGACCTCCTCATCGTGACCCAAGCCAATGTAAAAGCTTCTCCGAGGAGTGTAACCTCGTTCCAGCAGGTATTCCAACGCCTGAAGGATCCCCTTCAGAACACACATCGTGACAGTTAGCATCAGGTTGGACTGAGCAGATGTGAAAAAGTATGCAGTGCTGATTCACTGTACCATCACAGACTGTTTATTGTCGATAGTTCCTCGTCCATAAATGAAGCCATTGAGCTCTTGAGCAGAGAAAGGAGGAGCATCCCACCCATCCGCCTCATCGGCCGGCACTACATCAATGTGTGCCAGCAGCATGTACGGCTCCAGATCAGGCTCGCTTCCTGGTACCGTCAACAGGTGGCTGTAGTTTCCCACCATCTCATGCTGGACCAGACTGGATGAGAAGATCTTTGGGAAAACTGAGAAAGGAAATATTCTTAAATAACACGCAATACAATATCTTATTACTATTAAACGACAAGTAGCTGATTTACATGAATACAGTTAATTAGTAAGTAGTAGCAGTTAGTTTTCTTTAGGGTTAAAATTTATAAACGATGTCAAAGGAAGTGCTTTACCTTTAAAAAAATACTTTTTATTTTATATATGTTTGTGGCTTTTGTTATCCTCTTACCAAATTTGTAAAAGTTTAAAGCCTTGTATTATATATTACAATGTTTTCAAGCAATAAACATTGAACATAAAAATGAACTTGTTTTAATTATATAATGCTAATTATTAAATATATATGTAATATATTTACAGTATATTAAATGATTACATATTAATGATATTCTAGGTTAAAAAGTACTAATGAAAATACACCAGAATGCAAGTAATAGGGTTGCAGATTTAGCCTAAATTATACTTGTCAAATGCTGTCCAATCTAAAATGACTGTACAATTTGAGAAAACGTAATATGAGTTTTTTTTGTTTTTTTGGCTTTTCATGCTGCAGAAAAGGTCCACACATTATGTCACTTCATGTGTACAATTTTATAAAATGCCAAATTTTTTGTAGTGGGGGAGATGAAGTGGTAACAGGATTGAACTCGAAATGCAGGACAGCTAAAATTAGTTCATAATTAAAATATTGTGGTCGTGACTTAAAAGATAATGGGGCAACAGTTTGCGTTTGCTGCTGTGTAAGGCATGGTGTCTCACCCTTCCTCAGCAGCCCGTCAAACTCACGCAGCGCGCTCGTGTTCACATTTGTCTCGGTAAATGACACAGTGGGAATCTGAATGGCCGCTATGAAAGAGACGAAAACAAGACATTACAACATTTGTAACATCTACAGCAGCAGTCTACGCATGTTGACAGCACATCCTTTATCTCCGTCTTCCTGATCCATCTATTCACGTCACGTGATGAGCTGCGTGTCAAACTGCTTTAGCAATCGGCACAGAGAGGGTGTTCTTCGTAGTATTTCTTCGTTGTTTGTTACCTTTGAAATTTGCCAGCAGGTTCTTTCTCTGTTGTGGACTTAAATGAAGAGAAATGGCTGTTGTATTTTCCCATTTTCCCAACTGAAGCCCCGCGTCCGCATCAAATGTAAACGTCCTAACTGTGGCAACAAGGAACAAAACTGTAATCGAAAATATGACACTAAACAGCAGCACTTTGAGAAACTTTAATAATTTCCACCGAGCGCTATGGCCTGTCATGTTTCAGGAAGTGCAAAATACAGTCATTTCATGGCCAGAGTTCATGTTTATTTAATACCTCACCGAATACGCAGTAACGCCCTCTGCTGCTGTGGATTAGAATCGCATGTAAAATATATATATTTTTGTAATATTGTTTATTTATATTATTCAAGCATTTATAAAAATTTTGAATTACGTTTTATTTTTCATATTTTTTTTTTTACCGTTTTCTTTATAATTTTAATTTAAGTTTTAGTAATTTTGTTGTGTGCTACGGTTTTTAAATGATATATATACAGTATATAGTACACATTTTTTTTTTAAATTTTAAAATATATTTAATTTATAAATAAATATAAATAATATATTTTATTTCTGTTTTATTTCAGTTAACAAAATATTTTAAATAGCTTAAATTAATAATAACATTTAATCAATATTAACAAATTTTCTACATTCCAATTTAGAAAAAACATTCAGTTATGTGGCCATTTGATTTGCACAATAAGAATCACCCCTAGGCCAGAATTATAGATGACAGCTAATACAAAATTCATTGCAGACATTAGGAGAAAAGCAACAGGGAAGTAAATGAATGACTGTTTGTGCATGAGATTTGAGTTCCTTCTGAAAGGCTGCACTTAATATGAGACATATACCTCCCGGTTTCACAGACATGGCTTAAGGCTAGTCCCAGACTAAAATGCATGTTTGAGCTGTCTCGGCTGAAAATATCTTGCTCTGACACATCTTAAAATATGTCAGTTCCATTGCTCTGCCTCAAGATGCACACATGTAACGTTTTCTTCTGAGGCATTTTACACACTAATTCTTAGTGTGCTGCTTAAATAGCTTAATTTAACTAAGGCCTAGTGCTGGCTTAAGCTAAGCCCCGTCTGTGAAACCGGGCCATAATAGCCTTAAAATGAGGCTCAGCTCATTATTCAAACTTGTGTAATTAAATTATAGTATAATATGAAGCACTAACACCGCATAGACTACCACTTAAAACAGTGCCTCTTTAATATGCAGTAATGTTGTAGTGAACATTATTTTAGAATATTATTTTTTTTTTTTTTCAGGTCTGCACTTTCTTTCAAGGTTACTTTTGATGCAACTAAGGAAATTATTGACTAGAGTCTGACACCAAGGAGAGCAATGAGACAAAGGTAAAATACATAAGGTTATAAACTACATAAAGGCTATGTCGTTTTGAAGAAGTCTTTATCTGCTCTCTGTAACTTGATGACTTTGCAGGATAGTTTTGTAGGGCAACTATCCTCTCAGACAGATCCATAAACATTTGGATACTGGTCCTTTTTATGTAATGTTTGAATTATTAATCATTGACAGCTTGACAGAGCAAAGTCAAAAATATAAACTTTGACATACAGAAGAAATATTACATAAAAATGCAATAATCTGTGTCCTAAGACCGTCTATTCAGTGAATAGGAGCAGTGGTCTGTGTAGATAAACGTGCAAACCAGCTGAGCTGATGGCCTTCATTCACAGAGAATCTCTGCATGTGCTGCGACTGGCCTCAGAACTAACCTCGAGTTACTCAGTACTAACAAAATAGCTGGGAAACAGCATTTGAATATTTTTTTCAATAACAAAAATCTTGAGATAACTGAAATATTGGAAGGAGTATTTTGCACAGACAGAAGATGCATAGGTTAACCTTTTGAACTTTTTAAACTAAAACAGCTTTTAAAATAATTGCAATCACTGTGGTTTTGCATGAAGACAAGAAATGTTACTTATCTTATTAACATTTCCATTGGTATGGCATGAGTAACCTTGTGATTTGTATTTTAACATAGCAGAATGTTGACTCACCCAGGGAAAACTAACTAAAGATACTGTAAAAAAGAAATTTATATCAAGAAAAAAACTTTTTTTTATTATCCATTATGTAATTTTACACCATTTCAACAAGCAAATTAAGAAAATATATTTACAGTAATTTTCCAAAGTTTGGGGTTGGTAAGATTTTTAAATATTTTTGAAAGAAATCTGTTGTATACAGCAAGGCTGCATTTATTTGATCAAACATACAGTAAAACCGTAATATAGTCAAATATTAGTACCATTTAAATAAATTAATTTTTTATTAATTTCCAGTCTTCAGTGCCACATGATCCTTCAGAAATCATTCTAATATGCTTATTTGCTTCTCAGGAAACATTTCTTTATAATAAAATTGAAGTCAGTTGTGCTGCTTATTATTTTTGTGGAAAACGTGATACTTTATTTTTCAGGATTCTTTGATGAAAAGTTCAAAAGAACATTTATTTGAAATACATATCTTGTGTATCATTATAAATATGTTTGCTGTCACTTTAGATCAATTTAATGCATCCAGTTGAATAAAAGTGTTAAATTCTTTCCAAAAAATTCTTACTGCCCCCAAACTTTGAATTTAAGTTAATTTGCTCTCATTAGAACTTCCACAGAATTCCTATTTATTTTAGGTGCGAGGTCCTGGCAAGTTCTTGATGTCACTGTTCTGCATGAGCTGGAAGTAGAACAGCACGATCTCTTCATAGTTCTGGATGGAGATTCTCTCGTTCACACCGTGGAATCTAAAGGGAAGTATAAGATGTTTAATATTTTGTTGTTTTTACAGTACATGAGCCAGTATGTCGCTTCAGCATTTCCGTGTGTCCTACCTTGCAGAATCTCCAGGTTTATACCATGATGGGGCAAAACGATAAATGTCCGGAGACAGTTCTGTGTAGTGACGGCTGTCAGTGTTCCCCACGCAGATACCTGTGAGAGGAAATCGTAGAGCTGCTTTGTTGACAAGACTAAGAGTGGGAGAAGCTCTTCATGGGTCAATGATGTATATAAGGGCCACTTAAACCCCTTGAGCTCTTACTAGAGAGAGCAAACATGCAGTATTTAACGGCACAATGCTGAAAGCCTTACCAGGAGATACAGTGACCTCAGGAAAAATGTCATGCACTGTTTTCTTTATGATCTGGTACCCGAATGTATCCTCATCATACGAGCTGATGGGCAGCGGGTCGAATCCACTGACAAACTCTACCTTCACACGCTCATCAGATATGGTGGATTCAATCAGCTTTAGAACCTAGAAAGGAAATAGGAAATCAATCAATGAACTTTTTGCTTTGGTAAAATGTAAGACTTTTATTAAAGTTTGAAAATCTGCCACTCACATTGAATATATTAAAAGTAACCAACAGCAACATCCTATCAACATAATATTTGCCTAATTAATTCTGACTGGTGCTCTTGACTTTTCAATAACTATTTCTATTCTTTTTCTATTTATTTATTTATCAGTAAAGATCAACATTATACAATTTGAAATCAACATTATATAAAAAGAGATGGGTATAAAACTACTTAAAACATTAAACAAAAATGATAAAGAAAGAAAAAGAAAATTAATAATACAAGACCTCTCTCCCCCACTTCACTTCCTGTCAATTCTAAACTGTCCTATCCTCAATAAGTCAAAAAATGGCAAAAAAAATTAAAAACAATACATAAAACTAGAAGCATAAAACCAAGTAAAATACATAACGTAGATAATTTAAATAAATATTTTATAATCACACATTTTTCTTAAAATGTAAGATTTCTTTAATAACTCTTAATAGTTTTTATTATTCAGAGAGTGGAGAGCCTGGCTTCATAAGACCATAAAATAGATGTTATCAGTATATTTCTGTAACGGTAGGTTTAACTAAGGGTTGCGCTCAAACTTCCTTTGTTGTCTTCCAAGCACTGGTATTTTCTTTAGGTAAAGCAAATCTTTTTAAATGTATGAACTAATTAAATGTGCTAGTGCTGACCTCTCACCTCTTGCAGTGTCTGGGAAGAGTGAATGCGGAAATTGACAAAGGCCTCAGCATATGCTGGCATTACATTAATCTGTCAGAGAGAGGCAGGCAGGGGGGAACAGTTGGATCTCCATTAATGCTTAGAGTAATTTTATGTGAATATATGTATAAACAGAAAGTAAATGATGTGAATGGCAGCCCACCTTAACACCAGAGTTAAACATTGTGACGGCAGTTGTTGTCCTCACAAATGCATTTGTGTCAGGCTGTCCTTCCAAAACACTGCACATGTGATTTGAAAGTACCACGGATCAAAGCATGTACTCATTAGTTACTGTAGTGAGAAAAAACATGGCCTACCCGCTGAGCAGCGAAGAGAAGAGCCACAGATTAGACATGACCATTCTGTATGGCCAGCCAAACTAGAAGGCAAAAGAGAAAGTATAAATAAAACAATGTATTATTTGTAGGAGTGTCATAAGCATTTTATATCATGTTTGTTTTATTACCTTATGTGCCAGATGCTCAAATGTGGCACGCTCTGGACCATGACCAAAAAGATTGGGCATCCGGTTCTTCTCCAACCTGGGTAATTTTGAGCCAAAACACAACGAATTACTTACATAATTACTTTATGTAAGATTTATGTATTCATTAATTTATGCATTTGTTCAAAATATTTATTTGATTTCTTATCAGTAAACATCAACATAATACATTTAGAAAAATTAAACATTATACAAAAATGGGCATAAAATTACTTCAAAATCAGATACAAAGGAAAAGAAAAATGCAAGGCAGAATGAATAATATATCAAATGTATAAAACAAATTCAAATACATACTTTACAAAGCTCACAAATATTTCTTAAAAGTTTAATATTTCTTTAGTAAAATTAGCTTGTTTATTTAGAGTGGAGAGCCTGGCTTCATTTAATGAGACCATATGTTTTTAATAGTAAATTTGCATTTATGAATATGAAATTCAATCAGAATGATAAGAATATTCATTTTAATTATAAAAAAAAAATCACACAATGTAACTAAATAAGTAGAATGACAAAATAAATGCAAAGAAGATTCATGGTATTTTACTTTATAACATGCTAGAATACAGTGTAATACAATTTTAAGAGTAAGATTTTATTTTTTACATAAATGTGCCAGATGGACATTGATTCTGGCTTTTGCATTGGGTTTATTCCATTCTGTCTTGCTTTTTGTAAATGCAAGACCATATCAACTGTGAACGGACCCATTAGAGGTGCAAAAAATATTTAAATTAAGATCATGTTCACAGTTTTCATATTACAGTAACTATTTTTTTCTTGCCTTGTAACTGCTGAAGCCAAGATTCCAATGCTGCTTTCTCTGGGAGGCATGGATGAATGTCCTGGAGGAGTGCTGACACTCAGCTTTACTGTGGCCTGACCTTTCTCACTCACACCAATTCTACAAAACCACACAAGACGTAAATCACACACGAGTTCAATATCTAAATGTTCATATTAATTCAGTAAAACGGAGGTCTCACAGGGCACCAGGTCCGATCAGGCCATCTACCACACCATCCATGATCGTGAGACCTTCATCTAAAACATACAGAAGCTTCACCCCACGACTCTTCAGGAGCTTCACGATATTCACAGCACCTTGTGGGCCACTGATCTGAGAAAACCAAATGAACAGCTGCATTAACACAAGCTTTCTGCTGAGATTTTAGCAGATAAACTATGATTAGAACTGAGACGGACCTCCTCATCATGACCCAAGCCAATGTAGAAGCTTCTCCGAGGAGTGTAACCTCGTTCCAGCAGGTATTCCAATGCCTGAAGGATCCCCTTCAGAACACACATCGTGACAGTTAGCATCAGGTTGGACTGAGCAGATGTGAAAAAGTATGCAGTGCTGATTCACTGTACCATCACAGACTGTTTATTGTCGATAGTTCCTCGTCCATAAATGAAGCCATTGAGCTCTTGAGCAGAGAAAGGAGGAGTATCCCACCCATCCGCCTCATCGGCCGGCACTACATCAATGTGTGCCAGCAGCATGTACGGCTCCAGATCAGGCTCGCTTCCTGGTACCGTCAACAGGTGGCTGTAGTTTCCCACCATCTCATGCTGGACCAGACTGGATGAGAAGATCTTTGGGAAGACTGAGAAAGGAACAATTCATTATTAACCTTCATTAATCTTTAATGACACTATATTTTACAAATAAAGCATGCAAAAATAATCCTTAAATCATCACTTTCTCACCCCTTCTCAGTAGCTGGTCAAACTCTTGCAGGGCAGTTGTGTTCTGTTCTGACTCTGAAAATGACACTGTGGGAATCTGAACTGCAACTGTGGGAGATCAAATAAAAAAAAGAATAAAAGAAATAAAACAAGAAAATCTGACCATGTTTATATGTACATAATTTTCTGATTAAGGTCAATATTCTGATTAAGCCTTTATTCTGAAATGAGATTTTCATGAGGTTTTTAGGCCCTGAACTCTCATTTATTTTATTCAGACAAAATCACAATAATTTTCAAAAAACAAAAGCGCTTAACTTAGCCTACTGTATCATATTTCATACACAAACTTCTAAGGGCTAAACATTATCAACATATCAGCAACAAAACTTTGCTGAAAAATTTGTTTACAATTTGCTATATGCTGTAGTTTATACTTTATTAGCAAGTAAAAGCCCTTTTGGAATAATTGTAAAAATGTCCACCTTTAGGTCATGCTGATTTATGTATTAAAAAATCATAAACAAAAAATAACTTTTAAAATGTTAGTAATATTTCAAGATGAACACTCGCTGTACTGACACAACTTAGGTTTACTTGATAATCTCTCTATCTCTATATATTTTAGAAAAATCATGTTAAAATGTATCAGATAGTTCAGTGTTTTAAGGAACATTTATTTGATCCCTCAATTATCGTTGTATTGCATTGCATTATACGTTTCGCCCCCATCAATAAAAAAACCAGGCTGTACAGGGTTAATACAGCATGCAAGCTGTTTTACTCCAATTTCTTATAATCTGAATATCGACCCAAAGAAGTTACGGTAATCAGGGCATTTAATTTAATATTTTAATTTTGCATTGTCTGAAAATAACCAAATTCCAATTCTTTACCTATTTATTATTACTTTCTCCATCCAATTTATGAAGCATTTAAATTTCTAAACAAGTATAATTTTGATATAATTAGGCTTTTCTTACCTTTCAAATTTCCCAGCAGCTGCTTTTTCTGTTCTGGACTTAAAGTGGGATAAATTGTTGTTGCATTTTCCCATTGTCCAAGTTCTGTGTTCACTTTAAATGTAAATGTCCTACCGATCACAACAGCAAATAAAATTAAAACTGAAAGTACAAGGATTAACAGCAGTATTCCAAAAAACTTCAAAATTGTCTTCTTAGTGATTTTGGTCTTCATCTTTCAGAAATTCAGGACGAATGACAGTCGTCTGCATGATCAGAGTTCACATTTTTTATTGCCTTATTGACAACTGGTCATGCAACATAAGAGGCCTGGGCTGGTGTGGAGCCAATTACAAATGTAAAAAGCAGTTTAGATGTTTTTTTTTTTAACCACCTGCTGGGGTTTGAATAACCAGCAACAGAGATATTTAACAATATTATCAATCATTAGATATTGAATAAATGAACAATTTGAAGTAATCTGCAGAAGATTGAGCTGCATTACACCACATATTTGTAAGGTCATATTTCATAGTGAAAAATCAGCTGTAATTCAAATGAAACTGTTCAAATTAAATGTTTTCTGATATTGAATCTTTTTAAAGGTTCACACAGTACAGCTATTAATAAGCTAATGCAATAATTTCCCCATTTTTGGGCTCTGAATTGAAGGACAATGGGCCCTATTTACACAAATTTGGCATCTAGAGACCCTCTTGGTGTTAATATAAATTAATTTAGATAGGTGTATCTTTATTAAAACACAGAACAACCTTAGGAGAACAAATTTATTTACTTTAAATAAAACAAACAAAAGGTACACATTAAAAACCGCAAGATATCACGACTCATTAGTCCAGCTGTAAAAGACTGTAAGAGAAGAATGTGATTGTTTCTGTGGGAGTTCAAATCTCAAATAAACTGTATAAAATACACATCTATGGTAAAAGATCAATCAGAGAAAACACCATGCACAGGATTAGCCAACTACATATCTCATCAACTCAAGTTTAACATCCTATATGGTCTTTGAAAGCAAGTGAATGCAGGTGTTCTGATGTAGCTCTCTTTGCGTTTCATTCAGTCCAATCACACAGTTTCCTCTGATACCAGTTTAAAAAGATAATCGTCTGAAGGACACTTGGCTGACTAAACCTGAGGTATTGAATGAACCTTCTTTGGCATCCGTGTTGCACACCTAAGCTGTAGCGTCAGTGGTGGATTGGTCCTCTGAGGTGTATATGAGAGCAGCTTCTTGCAGACCTTCAAGCAGAGCAGTGAAAGGATTGGATAGCGGCTCCTCCATGGATGCGTAGATGAGGTACAGCAGGCAGACCACCAGGAGGAAGACCACGATCTGAACCCACAGAGGCACCAGACGCTGCTGAATCTCCTGCCTCTCCAGTGTCGTGGGACTCAGTAGCGGCATTTCAGGGTATTTAAATTGCACAGGGCGGCCCGCAGCTCCCTTTATAGGCCGTCTCTTTGTAGCACTGCAGGCAGAACAAAAAGACCTTAGAACTAATTTACAATGGTGAATTGAAATATAGGCATGAGAGTCCATAGTTTGTGAACAATGGTAGTATTTAGTTATGAGAAAAGTATCACAGATGGTACTCACTAGATTCCAGTGGGAGTTTTGGCAGTGTCAGGAAACATCTCTGAAAGAACATCCGTCACAGGTTTCTAATGGCCAGAAGAAACCACACAAAACAGACTGAATAAGAAAACATACTTTAAATGTGTGGTCTACAAATGAAAGAGGAAGAGAATGAACAGACATCACAAAAAAACAAAATACGAGGGAGGATGGAGTGAAAAAGTATAGAGAAATACCAGCCCAGACTCATGAAAAAGCTGATTTGAAAGTCATGTGGAAAACACAAATCACAGTGCAAGAGTGAAGCTAAATTTTAAGTTGAGTGTCACATGGTCCTTCAGAAATCATACTAACACGCTGATTCGCTGCTCAAGAAACATCAATATCGAAACCATGATACTTTGTTTTTTTTAGAATTTTTTGATTAGTAAAAAGTTCAAATTAACAGCTTTTATTTTAAAAAGAAATCTTCTGTAAATGTCTTTACTGTCACTTTTAATCAATTTAATGCATCTTGAATAAAAGTTCATTTCTTTCAAAAACAAAGTCTTCCTGACCCTAAACATTTGAATGATGTATACTAATGTTCCTTTAGAATTATATTTTCATGACAATAATGCTGGGTACACACCACAAGATAATCGGGCTGACTTTGGGCCGATTTCTCCCCTTCCGTCAATCCTAGGTAATGTGCCGATTATCTTGGTGGTTCTAAAGATTATCTTATGAGATTTTCCTGTGGTGTGAGGTGTGTTAAGAGTGTTTTTACTGTCACTTCTGATCATTTCAGTGAATTCTTGCTGAATAAGACTTTTGAATGCTAGTGTATACTGGAAAAAATATTATCTTTTATGACTGAATTAATTCAGTCACTAGCAGCCATACTGAACACTCTGAAAGAACACTCCTACTGGTTCGTAACAAACTGACTGCAAAAAAGCATTAGCCAACATGAGCTGTCGTGCAAAACAAAGTGTATACATCCACATCACATCTGCCCGTTATTGTGAATTCTCAGATTTATGCTGGGTACACACCACAAGATAATCGGCTTGATTTTGGGCCGATTTCTCCCCTTCCGACAATCCTGTAATGTCCCGATTATCTTGGTGGTTCTAAAGATTATCTTATCAGATTTTCCTGTGGTGTGAGGTGTGTTAAGAGTGACTGAATCTGCTCGGAAGAACGTCGGAGGCGCCCCGATCGCGAAGCGTAAATATTCAACATGAATATTTACGATCATAAATCCTGATGTGTGGGGGGAACATCGCGGCACACCACACACTATAGGAGCAAAACGGTTAAATCTAGGATTTTTTGTCCTCATGTTTGTGGTCTCTCACATTTTGAAGATCCTATAAGATTTTAAAAATCTTTTAGTGTGTACCCAGCATAAAGTACATTTCCTCAGACTCTAACAAAAAAAAATAAAAAATTACTACTATTATTATTATATACATAATATGTGTGTGTGTACGGTATATATATATATATATATATATACACACACACACACACATACAGTATATATTTTGAAAATATTTACATGCAGGCCTATAGACATTTATATATTTATATTAAGTTGGCTTGAAAACGCCAACTTACTGAAATCCTATTTAAACTACCTCTTCTTCTTCTGAGACCAAATTTTAAAGTGCATCTCCTCCTAGACCTTTAAAGCTACAACCACCAAACTCGGCCCAGACCTTCAGACTGGTTTTAGCAGGTCAGGCTAGTTTTCAGCTGTTTTTTTTTACTGAATCAACTGGTTTTAGCTGGATTAGCATAGAAACATGCTAACAAAGTTCTAGTAACTTGCTAATCATGCTATAAATATGCTAGTAACTTGCTAATCAAGCTAACAAAATGCTAACACCATGCTAGTAACATGCTAATCATGCTAGTAACTTACTAATCATGGCCCTGGGTACCTTAGCAACTGCATAGCAACACCTTAGCAACCACCACGGGTACTATAGCAACCACATATCAACACCGTAGCAACCAACCCAGGTACCCTAGCAACCACCTAGCAACACCTTAGCAACCCCCCCGGGTACCATAGCAACCACCTAGCAACACCTTAGCAACCACTCTGGGTACCTTAGCAACCACCCCAGGTAGCCTTGCAACACCCTAGCAACCACTCTGCGTGCCCTAGCAACCGCATAGCAACAGCCTAGCAACGGCCCTGGGTACCCTAGCAACTGCATAGCAACACCCTAGCAACCACTCTGCGTGCCCTAGCAACCGCATAGTAACACCCTAGCAATGGCCCTGGGTACCTTAGCAACTGCATAGCAACACCTTAGCAACCACCACGGGTACTATAACAACCACATAGCAACACCGTAGCAACCAACCCAGGTACCCTAGCAACCGCATAGTAACACCTAGCAACCACCGAGTACCTTAGCAACCGCATAGTAACACCCTAGCAATGGCCCTGGGTACCTTAGCAACTGCATAGCAACACCCTAGCAACCACCCCAGGTAGCTTAGAAACACCCTAGCAACCACTGGTTACCACCTTGAGTTCAGTAGCAACCACATAGCAACACCATAGCAACAGCCTGGGTACCATAGCAACCCCATAGTAGCATCATAGCAACCACCCAAAGTACCTTAGCAACCACATAGCAACACCCTAGTAACGGCCCTGGGTACCTTAGCAACTGCATAGCAACACCCTAGCAACCACCACAGGTAGCCTAGCAACCACCTAGCAACACCTTAGCAACACCCCAGCTACCCTAGCAACCGCATAGTAACACCTAGCAACCACCCCAGGTAGCTTAGCAACACCCTAGCAACCACTGATTACCCTAGCATCCGCATGGCAACACCTTAGCAACCAACCCAGGTAGCCTAGCAACCGCCTAGCATCCACTAAGAATACCCTAGCAACTGCATAGCAACCTTTTAGCAACCACCATAAATACCCTAGCAACCGCATAGCAGCACCCTAGCAACCAGCCCGGGTACCTTAGCAACTGCAGAGCAACAGCCTAGCACCCACCCCAAGTACCCTAGCAACCACATAGCAATACCTTAGCAACTACCCCAGGTACCCTAGAAACACCCTAGCAACCACC